GCTAATCTTCTCTGTGTCGTTCCAATTTTATCGGATGATCCCCGAAGGGAATCCATATACATATACATGTACATATACATATACATCTTTTTGGCACTCGCACTCGACAAGCAGGCGAGGGTTCAGAAGTTCTGAAGCCTTCAAGCAGAGCGCATTGCCCCGGGGTTCATCAACGAAAACCTACGAGACCTAGTGCAGAACAAAACAGCTCATACGGCACCGCACGGCACTTTCAGTCCCTCCGCATCGCACCCACAGCGTCCAGTGCGAGGTCTCCAAACATAGCAGATGACAGACAGTAGGGTCGGAGCATTTGCGACCACCTGTTCAGGAATCCATCTTCTTGCTTCCACGGCCCAATCCACTGCTAGGAAGCAGAGCCTGGAAGAGATACAAGCAACTCCTCCATGAGCACACTCAGATCGCACCAGTTAAGCCAGACTGCCCAGCAGAACGGTGGTCGCAAGGGGCAACTGTGGGCCCACGGTCACAGGTCCAGCTTCGCCACTCGCTTCTGTTGACCCACATACGCTGAACAGAGGGTCCAAAGTCGAGATGCCCAGCACGTCCATGTGATAGCCAAAATGTAGTCCATGTCCCAGCGATCTCCGATTTCATCCAGTGGGTGTGCTGGGGGTTGGCAGCAGCAGAAAAGACTACAGGTGTTGTAATATCTCCTCTTTGCTACCTCGACCCAGGCCACGAAGCAATATGGCAGCTCACACTGGAAAGGCCCGGCGCCCATCTTCAGGCCTTATTGCACAACCACGGCGTCGAGTGCCAGGTGACTGTCCCCAGCTGCAGAGTTTCGCGCTCGAGTGGTATTCCTTTTGCTCTCCTCAAAACTTGGCAGCAGATTTAGTACCAGAAGTAATCAGAATACATCGCGGGCGAATCCATGGCACGACCCCCTACCTGTGGGGAGCACATGGGTACCTCGTCCTTCCGACCTCAGAGGTCGTCAACAGGGAATAAACCCCCAGTTCCTCGCAAAGAAACATGGGGCAGGGAGCAAGACTGCCCAACCTGCAGCGAGGGGATATACCCTCCACGAGAAATACAGACACGTCAGCACCACTAGTTCACGCGATTTGCACCGACCGCGAGTCCATTCATTAACACATCAGGATTGCGTAGACTAGTAAACCCTACAAGACCGGTAGCAACACAAAGAAGCAGTCATGATGCGTTAACTCAAGGACTCCACTGTTTCAAAATGACTCCTCACGCGATCAGATCATCAGGAAAGTACAGGTCGTTGTGCGATATGAGTGTTGTGCTCAGCGTGGTCGTTGGAATTCACATGCAATTCACACCCGTGCAATAGCGAAGGCATGCAGAGCCAGAAGAGGGCATGCAAAGAATTCTTTTCCAAGTTCAATTAGGCCACACTGCGTAAGGAAGGGTCCATGCATCATGCAGTTGCTTGTCATGCAGCAAAAGACACCTGCAGAATGTCCAAGTAAATTCTGTACACATGTGGCTGCCCACATGCAAAGAAATGCAGTCATGCAAAGATCATGTCCCTGCCCCCATGCATATGTCGATCCACTCTCATTGTGCCATCACCACGCTGACCAAGCAAAGCAGACGTCCCCGATCGCTGATGACAGACAGACGCATGCAGCACAGCCGTCCGAGTTCAAAACTCATTGAGCAGAATTCAACGAAGACCCATGCAGAATGAATTCTCCAATGTCATAGCACTGCACCGTGCAGAACATCCTGGCACCGTGCGAGAATTTGGACGTTGCCTGTGATCTCACCTCAAGTGTCCCTATCCATGCGTGCGCTCGGAAGTCATGGGTACAGTCCCAGCTGGTATAGTGCTGCATACTACGCAGCCTGAAATCCATGACCAAGAACCATGTTCGTAGTCTCAATGACTCAAGCGTGACTGTAGCCCAGAGGTTATCTCGTGCAATATGTTCATATCGCCCAGGTGTGCCAAAGTCTCGTCCACCATTCTCGGTATACAGACTTCTGCGACACTGTACGAGTACTGCTGAACTAACGACATAGCTGCAACCTCAGGATATTCCATTTCCAGATGCCTCAGAAAGGCCGAGGTTGTCTTAGCCACGTAAGACGCATCTTCTCTATCCAGATCATGCAGCAGGTTCGCCAGTATTGACATTGAGCCCCGTTTTTTTTAACGGGGCCATCCGTCCTGCATCCAGCGCAAAAGTTGGCGTGAGACTCACTCTCTGTCTGTCTGTGTGTGTGTGTGTGTGCGTGCGTACCTGTGTGCATGGTATGTTTATGTATATGTTCGGCAGGTACTGGATATCTGCGACCAAACTCGACCTTTGCTAGCTGACTGAATGCCGCACAGACAAAAGAAGCGCGTGAAAGGGGGCTCGATTCTTCGTCCGCAGTGCAGTAGTGGGAAGGGACTAGATATGCAGCGAGCGGCGCACTTCTGCCAGAGTAGCCTTTGCCAAATCCGCGGCCTCCACATGCGAAGTCGGGAACGGCCACCGTTGCACTGTTGCGCATGCACGTGGCAAAAGCCAATTTGCTACTTGCTTCGTCGACTCAGTGCCTGCGGATCGGGATAGCGGTAAAGGCTGCGGCACATGCGCAGCAGCACCTTGGACGTGCTTTTAGAGCAAGCCTTCCGCTTCAGCATGCGGCTTCGGCCTTCGACTGCGCTTTTCATCGCTTCGTGCGGGCAACGGCTGCAGTATAACCCATCTACAGCTTGGCCACTTCCGTAGATGCCTCCAGGCCCAGGTCACAGCAACCTCGGCAGTTTTCCAGAGAGGAGCTTACACTCTAACTAAGCAAATGACTCAGCGCTCAGCATCCCAAGGAAATGCATGCAAATCGATTGCTGCAAGGCGTGCGAGCTGCGCTTATTCAAGAACGCAGATGCAAGAATGGTCGCCAAGCGAACCTGAACGCAGTGAATGCATCAAGCGCAAGCGCAACAGAGACGTGTTATACCCACGGGGGACCACTCGGCTTGAGCTGCATCTGCAGGTTGTGTCGAGATGAAGTGCTTCGCCAGAACAAACAAACTTGACTTCTCTCTCTCTCTCTCTCTGCCACTGCATCCTTGTATTTGCTAAAGTTTCGGCATGCTCCTTGCTGCAGATCGGCATTCAACATCTTGTCGCCGTCCTGCAAAGGACTGTTATTAAAAAATGATGCTAGCTCCCCTGGATTCCCCTTGTAATGAGTCCTTGAAGAAGCAGCAGCCAAACCCGCTCGGGATTTTGAGATCTGCTCCTTCGGCTTGTAGCGACTGCAGCAGCACCTCTGCGACCTGCAACATGTATACCGTACTAAAAAGATGCACAAGAGGCTCAAGCGATGCATCCATCATGTGCGCGCTTTCTGTCGGATTCCCCTACTGCTGCAGGCAAGGCTTCTGTGCGAGCAGGGTAGATGTGCAAAATGTTGGTTTAGGGAGCGATACGATGTCAGGCCGAGAGAAATTGAAGCTACCGTGGTGACCTGAAGACGTCCCAGCCACAACTGCGCTCGAAGCTAAGGCAGGTACTACTTCCAAGTGCGCAAGTTTTGCCCAGTCGAAATAGTAAGTACCACATTTATTCCTGAGCCATGTCAAGCTTCAAGCGCAAAGCACTTCTTGCCCCTCCGGATCTGTCACTCAGCGGCGTGCCACAGCTTCTCTTGTATCTTCTGCAGCTCATACTTCTCGGGGTGCATCCACCGACACTTGCCCTTGCAAGGCTGCCCCGTCCTGACCTGAGCAGGCACCAAGGCACGGCATAAAGTGAAGCATCAGTCCCTCATTGCGACTTTGCCAGTCCTGCCAGATTTGCAGCTTTGCCACACTCTTTTGACAAATATTCACAATGCCCAGCCAGCTGTTCAAGCCAATGCCATGGAATATTGTTGCTTTTCCTGAGAAGGCATCAGGAAACTGCAGCATACTTCATGTCCCGCCCTTTTCGACTCTCGCGCGGGCAGGCAAGGCTTCACAACAACTGACCCCAGCCGAAAGACACCACAATGCAGAGCAAAGAAAAAGGTTGGAGCGCTGAAGGAGGGAGCAGTCCAACATCCCACGTACTCTACGGCTACGAGTTGTCTTGGTGTCTGTGTCGGGTCGTGGCGGTTCTGCCTCAGGTCCAAGACGCCACAACTGATGCCCAAGAGTTGCCATGAATCATGCGTCTTGCTGACATCCGGGTGCTCCAGCGGACCTTGAAAAGAAGTATCTTGGCCTGAACAAGCCTAAACATTGAATCCTCAAGCGTGCCACAACTTGTTCGAAGTACTGTCGACATGCTCGTACGCCTCTGCCCTCTGCAGAAAGCACATGGATACATACGCGGTTGCATGCCGAGGTGCACTCTCCTTTTGCCTTGTGAGCTTCGCATCTTTTGTTGAAAAGGTGATGCGGACAGATGGGCATCAGCTTTTCCAGATCTTTCAACACCAATTCAGCCACCTTCTCCGCCACTTGCCTGACCACTTTGGCCGAATCCGACTCTGTAAGCCGAATCTCGTGCTTGAAGAGGGAGGCCTCAAACAGTACTGCATGTGCCGCTTTACAGCATGCCACAACCAGCTCGCTGACTCACTCACCTCAACTGAAGGTTACAATTCGGGTGCCGCAAGGTGTCTTTCCCAAACCCACATCAGAGCTGGACCCCGCGGAACATAAGTTCCCGCGGAAGGAGACTGAAAATTTAATTCTGCTTGGATGCGACATCTTTGATAACTCGCTGGAGCTCTTGAGAGTACTTCTTGAACTCGCTAGCCGTCATGGAAGGATTCCTGGAGTCGCCAGTGCTTGGCTAGGCACTCAACACGGCTTGCAGAAGAAGAAGCTTTCCGCTTCAGGCATCACCCCTTCCTTGACATCTACATGCAAGTCTTGGAACTCGGTTCTCCAAGCCTGATTCGGATCCTCCTCTACGCTGAAACGGGGCAGACTAAACAGGACCGTATGTGGCGTGGATTCGATGATTACAAGATTGCTCTCACGCAGCATAAAGTCACTGCCAAAGCCACACGCAGACACACTCGAACCCAAAACAAACCGCAAACAAGGGCGGTAGCCGGTTCAACCCAAGATCCTGAGCACGCTTTCTGCATCTCTCCGTGTACGAACCCACAAGTCTTCTGCAGCTTCTGGCATTTTGTCGATCCTCGGGTCTGTGGGCCAAGGGCAAGTCTCCTCCCCCTGCCTGTTCAGCTGCTAGGACATGAACTGATTGCTGGTTGCTTTCAGAGAAGTCTAAATCCCAGCATGTCCCAGCCCCAAAATAGATCTGAAAGCAACTGCAGCATTTGGCAGAATTGCATTCCGGACTGACGCAAGCATGCAGCTCTGAGCTCCGCGCACTTCTTTGTCCAAGTTTTTTGCCGATACCAACGATGCGCACGACTGCAAACTTCTCATGAATCCATCCTAGCATGAACTGTCTTCACAAGCTTAGGTCAGCTGTGCTATATCATGACAGATAAAGAGACATGCTCTAGTCAACTTTACAGATCATAGCCGTTCTGGAATGGGACATACTTGGATTGGCTTGTGTTCGTGATTGTGAGAGCACCCAGCTAGCTTGGCTTCTGCGTCCACTGGACGGTTGCAGTACGAGTCGAGACATGCAGTCTATTTCATTTCAGTGCCCCTCGTGGCTTGTAACGCTCGCCTGAACGTGGTTGTAGCACGCCAGTTTCAACCGCCCATGCTTCGAGTAGTACATGTCATCACAAGGCTAGCCCATGTCCATCAGCGGGACCTCTCGTCCACCATCAACATTTTCAAGCCTGCACCCCTCAAACAGTACCTGCCCCTCTTTGTCCCAGGCTGTTCCTTGAAGTTCTGCGTCCGCGACATCTGTTGAGGGCGGCTCTCCTTAATAACTCTGCCGTAACAAGCGGCAGCATCAGCGAAGATCCAGTTCGGCTGCTTGCTTAACTGAAGTGCTGGACACCTGATGGCCCCGAGTAAGACTCCTGACTCCTGGAGCTGTTTCAATTTCCAACTGCAAATTATTAAGCGACCGGTCTCTTACACTCCGGACGGAGGCTAACAACCTGCCAGCACGGCGAAACACTGGCGGTGGATGCTTCAATGCAGGCCAACACAAATCACAAAACCTACGCTACACGGCAGATCATTGCTTTGACGCCTCCAAACCCAAGGATCCAGGACTCCAGTTGCGTAAGGCGTAAGAGCTTCTACCTGCAGAACTCCTTTGCTGTCAGTGATGTTTGGGATTTCTGCGTCGGATCCCCAAAGAAACTCCTGGCAGGTTACAAAACCATCTTCGCCATGATGAAAAGTATCGGAAGAACTGTCAGCCAGGGGCCATGTGCAACGAATGCCTAATTTCAATCAAAGATCATGCTGCTTCCAAGCGGTGAGCCACAAGGAAGGTGCGGTGCAAGCAAGCATATCATCCTTTTTGCCTGAGCTGGGTGGAGGCAACAAGCAACCTCAAATCGACTCATGCAGAACAACTTTCAGGACGGACTGACGGCCTGTGGCCAAATGCCGTGACCTAGAGTCATCAGCCCACGGGCACGCTCAGCTCGCTTGAGCCATGTGCAGGCGGGCTCGGCTTCTGCAAGAAGCATCAGGCACACATCATGACCTTACTCACCCATGCCGGGCGGCAAAGCTTCTGCAGGTGCTGCAGCAAAGCTAGCCGACGCTCCTGCAAAAAAACCCAAAAATTCTCGAAGCTTTCCCACGGGTTGGCAATATTTGGACGGACAAGCAGCAAGTGCGAAGACACGACAGCACTAATGGACTGAACTGTAACTGACTCACTAACTCATTAACTCAGTCATTGACTAACTAAATAACTGACTAACTAACTAATTAACTAAATAACTAACTAGCTGACTGACTAACTAACTAACTAACGGAATCACCAACCAACCAACTACCTAACTGATTAAGTAATTAACTGGCTAACTAGCTAAACAACTAGCTGTTTAATTAACCAACTAACTGACTAACCAACTAGCTAGCTAACTCACCAACTAACAACCTCACTCACTCACTCACTCACTCACTCACTCACTCACTCACTCACTAACTCGCTAACCAAACTATGTGTAGCTAACTATCATATCTAATCTAATTCTATCTACTCTATATCACCTATCTGAATCTACCTAGCTATCTACCTATCTAACTCTGAATCTATCGATCCATTTACCTACCCATCTATTACTATGTAACGATCTATCTATCTATCTGTCCTATCTATCTATCTATCTATCTATCTACCGATCTATCTATATATCTATCAATCTGTCTCTCTCTGCCTGCCTGCCTTCAAGCCTGCTTGCCAGCCCGCCTGCCCATCTGTCTATCTCTATCTGTCTGCCTGTCTGTGTCTGTATGTCTATATATATATACACATAAAGGATATACCTCAAAGTCATAGCAATAACTTGCCTGCTTCGCATCCCTGTTGAATGAACTCATGCACTGGGCATGCGATTTGCGCGAAACAGCCAACAATCTGATGGATCAAGCACGAAACATTGCGAACAAATTGCAATGCAATAGCAGTCATCAAGCTGCGGCCTCCAGGTCTTCCAAGATCGCGCCTTTGCTATCCACAAGCCGTGAGGCACCTGCGAATCCCGGCAGAGCCTGCGGATGCTTGGTACATGCTGAACAAGCAATGAAACCATAGCGCTACCATAGCCCGATCCAACGGAAACCGAGGCAAAGGAACCGTCGTTTACTCGTTTGCTTCATCCTCCTCTGCATCTGTTTTTGATAATCATCCTCGTACATCCTCGTCGTTGTCCTCCTCCTTCGCATCCTTGTCCCGTCCCGGCTCTTGTCCTCGTGCGAACGGTGGCTCCTATACTCCTTCACCACCGCCTCCTAAATCATGACAACAGCAGCCCACCAGCTGACTGCGTACAAAGCTCGGCAACCCGCGCAGCAATCCAGTGACCAACAACAAAATTTACCACATGATTCGGGATGTGAAAGTGCTCGGAGACTATGCACTGGTAGTACCCTTGGATTGCAGAATTCTGAAGATCAACTTTTCAACATGCATATAGGTGTGGAAAAGGACTGGGGCAGGGTAGCCACCCGCCCCGCCCTGTACACTTGCAGTAGTTGTCGTACGGTAGTAGAGTAGTAGGGAGCAGGAGCAGGAGCAGGAGCAGTGGCTGTAGCCGGGATAGATTTCATAAAATGCTCCTCTGTCCAAGCTCTTTTGGGTATGCTTGGTGTTGGCTGTTTTCGCATGATGTCAAACAACTTGTTGGCTTTCACAATGGGTGAGGGTTTCATAATGGATGGAGTTTTAGTGTTGACCTTTGTTCCTGTTTTTCGCGTTTTGTTGTTTGCTGGTTGTTCTCGCTTACGTGCCTTTGCCAACTCCCCGTATCCCAATGTTTACAACAAATGGTGAGAACCTGGTCTCTGCGTGCTATCATTTACACAATATTTACACCGGATGCTCGCTGCGCAAGTCTCCCGCTGTTGTGCGTGCATACTTTTCGTCAATTACAGAGCGTCCCCCGTGCTGGAGGCGTGTCTTATTGCAAATAAATCGATACGGACCACCCTGTTTAGGATCTTCACTTAGATTCGGTGCTCCCGAAGCGCGCCAGCAATGCGATGTATGTATGTATGTATGTATGTATGTATGTATGTATGTATGTATGTATGTATATATGTATGTATGTATGTCTGTATGTGTATATATATATATATTGTGTATTTATATGTATACTGCGGCTTTATTTTAAATGAATCTATATACTATATACAATGTATATGAAATAATATATACCTACATACTATGTACTCTTTACTATCTACTTGTTACTACCTCCTATACAGTATGTATAGTGTATCGTACAGAGGTTTTACTATACACAATGTACTATATACGACCAAGGAGATAGTGGAGGGTACATCATTCATACAAAGTATGATATATATATATATATAGAGAGAGAGAGAGGGAGAGAGATAGTACATAGTACAGCGAGGTTGTTGTTTGTAACTTTTTTGATATTTTTGATGGCTTATTTTCTGGTGCTATTTGCTTTTCCTGTGGCTTTCGGAACATGGCCCCCTGGTCCTGCCTGTGCTTGCCGTCCGCTTGTATCTCTTTTTTTGTAATTTTTGGCGACAACAGGATTGAACAACTAAGGGTTGCGGGCTGGGTGAGGAGATAATTACCTCGCAAAAAGCTTATGGGGGCGTGCGATGGCGATTTCGGTGAATCATACATACATATATATATATATATGTACAGATATAATTCTTAAACACGCCGGTTCCTTTGGTGATTCCGGGTCCTCATACATCCTAAGCATGCCCCGTCATACGGCGATTCCTCGTCATCGTATATCTTAAACACGCCCCCTCATTTGGCGATTCCCGGTCATCATATACCTTAAACACGCCCCCTAATTTGGCGATTCCGGGTCATCACGTATGTTAAACACGACCCTTCCTTTGGCGATTCCGGCTCATCATCATCATAGTCATCATGTATATATATATATATAGAGCGTTTTTGCATTCATCATATATCTTAAACGCGCCCCCTCATTTGGCGTTTCTGGTTCATCATGCATCTTAAACGCGCCCCCTCATTTGGCGGTTTCCGGTTCATGATATGTCTTAAGTAAGCACGACCCCTCATTTGGCGATTCCGGGTCCTAAGCATGCCCCATCATAGAGCGACTCCGCGTCATCATATATGCTAAACACGCCCCCTCGTTTGGCGATTCCCGGTCATCATATATCTTAGACACGCCCCCTCATTTGGCGATTCCGGGTCATCATGTATCTTTATGTATCTTTCACACGACCCCTCACTTGGCGCTTTCCCGTTCATGATATGTCTTAACAGCAACCCCTCAATTGGCGATTCCGGGTCATCAATCATCCTAAGCACGCCCCGACATACGGCGACTCTGCCTCATCTTCTATCTGAAACACGGCCCCTCATTTGGCGACTCCCGTCATCATATATCTTAAACACGCCCCCTCCTCACTTGGCGATTCCGGGTCGTCATGTATCTTCAACACGCCCCCTTATTTGGCGATTCCCGTCATCAAAAATCTTAAACGCGCCCCCTCCTCATTTTGCGATTCCGGGTCATCATGCATCTTCATCACGACTCCCTCATTTGGCGCTTCCGGTTCATCATCATCACCATATATATATATATACAGATCGCTTACATACGTGCTTTGATTTGGTGATCTTGATGCATCATATATCTTAAATGCGCCCCCTCATTTGGCGATTCTGGATCATCGTAAAACCATACAAATATAAATGCATAAACAAAAATAAATAAACAAATGTATACAACATATATACACAGAAAGCGTCGCACTGCAGGCCCGAGTTTTGAAACTTTCTTTTTGTCCATACTATAGGCTAGGATTTTGCAAAAGTCTTGCATCCATTTGCTTCTCTGCATACAAGAAAAGGCCTTGAACAAAAACACATGCTGTCTGATCAGATCTGAAAGCTTCTGCGGGAATAACGCGCAGTGTCTGCAACGTTAGGTAGCCTAAACCACAGCACCAAAAGGCCAGGAGTCCGTGGCCCTGGCCCTGGGGAGGCTGGGGCGGCAAAAAAACAAGTACAATATATATATATATATATATATTTATTTATTTATTTATTTATTTGTTTATTTATTTGTTTATNNCCCCCCCCCCCCAATCCCTCCCAAGTCCTGAGCCTAGAGCCAGGCCTACGGACCAAGCCAGCGAGTTTCAGTAGTTTTTTAAATATGCAAGGCCTTCGGGCCTCAGGCCAAAGAAACATATCATAAATACACCTAAACTCAGGACCGAGGAGAAACCTCATACAGCTCTTCATCTCTATCATCCACTCCTGTGAGACATATCAAGATTGTAATGCAAGGTTATAGGTGTTATAATTTGTCCTGTGGTTAGTCCTTTCTTTTTGCCTCGTTATTCAATCCTTCTTCCTTTCTTTATTACTTGCTTGTTTCCTTTCTGTCTTTCGCTAGTCCTTTCTTTCTGTCTTCCTTTCGCTGGTTTTATCGTTCTTCATTTCTTTATTCCTTCCTTCCTTTCTT